AGGTGATGCAGTAGGGACACACTCCCGTGCTTCATTATGGTTGACCATTGTATCTGTCATGGAAGCAGAGCACAGAAGCACAAGAATTACTGAGATGAATGAGGTCCGTTAAGACAAACATGATAATACTCACGCCTGTAATCCCAGCACTTTGGAGGCTGACGCGAGCTGACTCTGGGTGGTCACCTGAAGTCAGGAGTTTGTTACCCACCCTGCCAACCAAGGTTGAAACCCACGTCTCTCCGAAAAATGCCAAAATATGGCTGGGCGCGTGGCTCAAGCCTGTAATCCCAGCACTTGGGAGCCGGACGGCGGATCATGAGTCAGGAGATCAGATACCATCCTGGCTAACCAGTGAAACCCCGTCCTACTAACAAAAAAATACCAAATAACAGCCGGTTGGAGGTGTCAGCCCTGTCAGTACCCAGCTACTCGAGGTAGGCTGAGGCAGAGAAATGGTGGAACCAGGGAGCGAAGCTTGTAGGTGAGCTGAGATCTGGCCACGGCACGTGCAGCCTGGGGCGACAGAGCGAGACTTCGTCTCGAAAAAAAAAAAAAAAGCCAAAATAGCCCAGCGTATGGTGGTTGGCACGTACCTGTGTCACAGCTATCGGGGGCTGAGGCAGGAGAAATCCGACCTGAATAGGAGGCGGAGGTGCAGTGAGCAGCTGTCCCCGAAGGGATCCCTCTGCCCCGGTAGTAGCTCTCCAGCTCGTTAGCAGGTGGCATGCCAACGCACCATGAGACTCTGGTTCAAAAAAAAGTGAAAAGGAAAAAAAGGCCGGATGCGGTGGCCTCCTGCCCTGTAAGTACCAGCACTTTGGGCCCACACCCCATGCCTGGTATTTGGCTTTTTTTTTTTTTTTTTGGAGACGAAGAGCGAGACAGTGGGTGGATCGCTGACTGTCGGCGCTTCAGCAGATGCTGCGAGTGCGTGGGCCAGACCATCTTGGTCTAACAGATTAGGCTTGAAACACCAGCTACTCCTGTCTTCCTCTTGCCAAAAACTAGGGTTCCCAGCTCATTCTCCTGCCTCAGCGGCCTCGCCGAAGTAGGCTGGACTACAGGGCTTGCCTTGGCGCAGCCTCACTGTAGTCTCACGCTACCTCGGGGCTAGTTGTATTGTGCTAAGATGGCTATATGGAAAACTACCGTGACCTAGTGTTCTTCATGAGATAAATCCTGCTTTCATGAGAGAAAGAAAGACAATACTGGCTTATCAGGCACACTATGGGAATTTCCTGTCACACAGAGCTGAATACAGTCTCTCAGTATGTGTTCAGTTATTATGTTTGATTATGTATTTTTTCTTCTTTTTTTTTTTGAGACAGAGTCTCGCTGTCTCTCCCAGCCTGAAGTGTGGTGGCGCAATCTCGGCTCACTGCAAGCTCCGCCTCCCGGGTTCACGCCATTCTCCTGCCTCAGCCTCCCGAGTAGCTGGGACTACAGGTGCCGCAACACACCCGAAATACTTAATTTTTTTGTATTTTTTAGTAGAAAGGCTTTCACCCGTGTTAGCCAGGATGGTCTCGTTCTGTTGTGATCGCCCACCTCATCCTCCCAAGATGCCTGCGGTTACAGGCCGTGAGCCACGAGCCCTGGCTGATTAATGTATTATTAAAACCAAATGCTTTCAGTTTCTGAGAAATCTCTAGTTACTGTGTTTTAAATGTTTTCAAAGAAGGTTGCGCATTCTATATATGGATTAAGGTTTCTAGGAGATAGCCTTTGGAACCAGTTTTTCAATAAGTTGTATACTAACAGATGTCAGTCTCTTTTTTTATTTACTCAAGGAAAATGCATTCAAATATTCGAAACTGAATTGCCAATCAATTAGTGACTTTAAAATTATCAGTTCTGGGCGGTGCGGTGGGCCTCACTGCCTGTATACCATTTTCAGCACTTTTGGGAGGTCGAGGCGGGCAGACATCACGGGTCTGAGATTGAGAACCAGCACCTGCCAACATATAAGCAAAACCCTGTCCTCTACTAAAATTAAAAAACTTTAGATAGCTGGCGCATGTGGCGGGCGCTGTAATCCCAGTTACTCAGAGCGCTGGGCACGCGAAATCATTGAACCCGGGAAGGCAGAGCTTGCAGTGAGCTGAGAGTTGTGTCATTCATTGCCAGCCTGGGGCGATAAGAGCAAGACTCCTGTCTCAAAAAAATAAAACAAAAGTATACCTTATGGTTCAGCCTCATGCTCTGCCAAATATTACAAATTTTAGGCATGTCATATATATGTAATATAGTTGTGTGTGGCAGAGTTTTTGCTGCTGTCACCCA